AAGTTTTAACTTCTTCAAAATTTGTAAATTCATAATGATTTAGTATAATCAGAAATATTTCTACAGAAAACATTTTTAAATTATAATATAAAAAATCTAATCGGTTTTAACAACTGATTAGAAAACTTAAAGAAATTTTATTTGTTCTTACGTTGATTCGCGAATACGTGTCGCTGATATCATACGCTGTATGAAATCGGTGATACGACTCGATCCCAGTCTCGTCACAAATCGTTGTAGCAAACGCATAAAATTAAAGATCAATGCCCCATCCTAATCTCCCTCCTTTCTCTCCTCAAAATTCATGGTTTGAATAACAGAATAAACAAAAAAGCTTGAACGCCTCGATTTGATGATAAACGATTCATGTTTCACATGAATCACTTCTAATCAAAATCTCATTTTCAAGCTTTTTTTTAAATCATAAATATTTATTTGAAAATAAAAAAAAAAAATAAAAAAAAAAATAAATACAAAATTATCTAAAGTAAAAGTCAAGAGTATTTCGATGAATAACTTTCTCGTTTTTTTTCAATAATCTCATCTTTAAAAGAACCTATTTTAGACAACTTGTCTGCTTGTTCGTTGCCATGATTACCTTGATGACCACGTACATGGACTAATTTAACCGATCCTATTCTATTATCGATAAGTTTTTTTAATTTTTTAATTAAATCCTGATTTCTCACTGGTTCTTTATTACTTGTTACGTATCCATTTTTTTCCCATTTTTGAACCCATTCTCCAATAATATTAACTATATGTAAACTATCGGTAAAAATTTCTAATGATTTTGTTTTGTTTTCGCAACTTTCGATCGCTCTAATGACTGCATAAATTTCAGCTCGATTGTTAGTTTGTTGTTCACCAGGAAGTCGTTCAGACAGATTTTTCGGATCTTTATCTCCATAAAACACACCAATCCCAGCTCTAGCTTCTTTAGTCCTATTTCTTAAACAACAACCATCGGTCCAAATTTGAATCTTGTTTTTATCTAAAACTACAATTTCTTTTTTGTCATTGATAAAATTTTCAGCATCGGTTTTAAGAGGAAATCTTTGGTATTTAGCACCAGAAAATCCTTTAACTTGCGGTTCATATTCTTCTCAAGTTAAATAGATTCCTGGTTTCCTGCCTTTTCGAACAGCATAATACCCTGGTTTTGATTTTGGCATCTAAAAAAAAATGAAATCGTCGTCAGTCAGTCAGTCGACCAATCAGGGGCAAAGTGAGAGTTAGTAAAATGTGAAGAAAGCGAATTTCTAAACAAAATACAGTTTGGAGCTCTCTCA